GCTGTGGAAGAGAGACAGGCGTAAAACAAGTCAATTGATTTGGAAGGACAGAGTGTACAATAAAATCATTAGTAACAGATGAAATCTGGAATCTAATTCCAGCGGTCTTATCAATGAAAAATTGTAAAAACTTTTCACATGTGTCAACAGAAGGAGAGAATAATGGCATAACAACAGGATGGAGTACAGTGTTTATAGTAGAAAAAGCACATAATATCAGATAATATCAGAAAAATAATTAGATCTAGCTAATTTAACAGCTCTTTGGTATTCACTCAAACAACTTTTCAAAATCTCATAAGAAACCTGTAGTTTATCTTTAAGCCATTTACGTTTGACCCTTCTGCACTCTTGCCTGAGAGCACGGGTATTACTGTTCAACCAGGGCTGTGTCTTGACCTTTTTATTCCTAATTTACAAAGGAGCCTCAAGATCTAAAATATCTGAACATGTAGAGTTGAACTGATTGACCAACTGTTCAGGTCCAATACAAGGAGAGGGAGACTCAATCAAGCTAATTAAAGGAGAAACTCCAAAGGCTGCTGAAAATTTACTAGCAGCACAAGTAGTAAGAGCACAAGAAGCAATAGAAGAAGAAATATTCATATTCTGAGTACTACATGGGAAAGTAGGGCTAAAAAAGACAGTGTCTGCAATTTTCACCCCACTAACTGAAAACCCCAAAGATAATACAAGGTCAAGAGTATGACCATGCTCATGTGTTGGACCAGAAACACTGTAAAAGATCAAATGACTCTAATAAATTTAAAAACTCACTAACAGGGGCTTCGAAGGGCAACAAACATGTATGCTGAAATCCCCCAAAATTTAAATATTGTCATAAAAAGGGACAATAGCAGATAAAAATTCAGAAAACTCCTGAATAAAATCCCCATGAATGTTTGGGGGTCTATAAATCAAAACGCATAACACAGATTTAAAAGAATTCAACATAATTAACTGAGTTTCAAACGTACAATGAGACTCAGAAGGTAAAAGTCTGCATTTGAACCTGTCTTTAAAAATAACAGCAAGACCACCACCCCGGCCAACAGACCTGGGTGTACTAAAAAAAACTACAACCAGGAGGAGAAAGTTCAGAGAGAGGAGTCTTATCACCGACGTTGAGCCAAGTCTCAGTTACAAATAAGAAGTCTAATTCATGAGAGAAAAAAAGATCATTCAAAATAAAAGACTTCTTTGCAAGGGACCTTGCATTAATCAACGCCATTGTCACGGGAATGGAGTCAGGAAAAGGTACAGTTGTGTGTAAAGTGGTATCGTTTACCGGACTTCCATAACGCAGGAAACAAAGATTTTGGCGATTTACTCTCCAATCGCCTGACCACCGCCTCGCATAAACCATCCGCGAGGACCAGAGCACTGGCACAGATGAAGACGGAAAGACGGCCACATCACATCAACGGCCTCCGCCACTTTAGACGCAGGTCCGATGAAAGGATATTTCCCGAACTTTTTTGATCTCACAAGGCTTCCAGCACGCTTCCCACACTTCCTTCGGCGTTTCTTCAACAGGCACAGACACCCCGGCAGGTAACACATTTTCCTCAGTGCGGCTGGCACATAATGAGGATGCAGCTGGCAGACTTCTCCAGGGTCGCGACTCAAACAACCAAACACCACCGATTGAATATTCAGTAGAGTCAAGCGATCGTACACCAGGGGAGAACAAGCAGTACGAGTGATAAAACAAACAAGGAAAACTAAAACAAATAACATGGATAAACTGCGACGGCAAGCCGGCAAACATCCTGGTGCCATCTTGACTTTCATTCTTTCAACAAGGTTCGGGAGGAGCACGATCAGATAATCAACTAATTCAGCACAGGTGGAACTCGTCTAGTTGTTCAACTTAATTAACATGATATGTGTATATATATATATATACACAGCCAACTTACCTCTGTCCCACAACAGTTCTCCGGCATCCCTCCTCCACCCCAACGCCTCACTCTTAAACTATTCTCATCCCATACTAGGGAGGGGGGGTTCTCTGGGTTTGGGCTATATTCCGAGCTCGGAGCCCTCCTTCAAGATAGCACGCCAAATATGCTTACTATTGGCTAAATCCTATTATATGTAAGTGTGAACTCGTGAAATGCATATTAGAGAGGCACAACTGAACTGAATATAACTCCGCCCGTGATCTTGTAATCCCGCACACTCGGAGCTAAAAAAACGATTATGTCATGCTCAACTCACCAGGAAGATTCGTTTCACACATGTGAACAAACAGACGGCTCCGAAGACAGCAAAAGTTGATGACATATTCAGCAGGTGCCCATTTATACTTTTGGTTACCCGCTTGTGACGTCATGGGCCATGTGGACCAATAGGATTGGTGTTGTTTTACATATGCTTCAGACACCGGTCATGCTGGCAGCATTCCCCAAAATGTCCCCTAGCGGGGGACGAAGCTCGAAGTTCCCTTGAAGGGGAATAAACCTTCTTTGCGTACTTTTATAGGCAGCCTAAAAAATTCTTACATATAGTACCTTTAAAGATTTTTTTTGTCCCTGAAAGACAAGAAAATCACAATGAATCATTGAGCTGAGTGCAATAGAGGCATTAGACATTTAGTTTGTTCACGTACAGTATATTTAAAATGATTTTAAGCAAGCGTTCAGTAAGAACTCTCATTCTATTAATATGACTTAGGATCAGATTACACTTAATATTCTCTCTATTCTCACTAACTGCGAATCAAAGTTAATGAAGTAATTAAAAATTTCTTCAAGATAGTTGTGTTTAATATGGGTTGTTGTTTTCTGACTGCAGGTTTACCGGCACTCGTTCACGGCGTCCTACATCATATACAGCATTCACACCAGGTGGAGTAAGAGCTTTTACTGATCTCACTGTATCTCACAGACATACAGAGAATACAGGGAATAGGATTCAGTCTTTAAACAGGACTTTACTTTAAGTGTTGTAGGCAGAACCATGTGAAATGAGCTGAGGGGTTCAAATATCGTGAAGCAAAGTACTTCGTTACAGTGTGCAAGTAAATAAGTCCTGATAGGAGAGAAGGAGCGGCGGAAATTAGAAATGTTTTGAACGTGCTGCCGTGATGTTGAACGCTGTTCTGATCATCAGTGTTTGACAGGAGCGCTGAGATCCATTCAGCTCACATTCACCCATAAAACACACCAGTAGATGAGCAGCATCAGCCAGCAATCACCTACTGCAGCAGAAACACACCAGCTGCTGATAATGTCAGTCTGAAAACTGTGTGTGTGTCTCTGTGTGTGTGTGTGTGTGTGTGTGTATCTGTGTGTGTGCGTGTGTGTATCTGTGTGTGTGTGTGTGTATCTGTATCTGTGTGTGTGTGTGTCTCTCTCTCTGTGTGTGTGTGTGTGTGTGTGTAGGGAGGTTCTGCAGCTGGATCCTCCAGAGGTCTTGAACTCTAAACTGCAGCACGCGGCGTGGGGTGTTCAGGGCCAGCAGCTGGTGAGCTCTTCTTTCGTTATTCACATTTACTCTTTACCTTCAGACACTCCTGAAATAGTGGAGCTGTTGATTCCAGAGCGACGGTCTATAAGACTAAATGTGTTAACAGTTACGTATTTGCATTGTGTTTGTGTTCGGTTTTGATCAGATCATGTTTTGAGATGGTAAGGAGGTTTATAGCAGATTGTGAAACTTAATTGCTTTGAATGCACAGACGTGTTTCCGAGTCACTACTGTGCTCATTTATGTGCTAGACAATGCTATAAATACAATAAATCCAGATCTAAATCTGGAGGATCATCTTTATATGTCATCATATCAGCAAGCCCTAAAACCTGCTCTATATAAAGCACTAATACGTTATAGACATAACAGTTCGACTTTGAAATTAATCTGACTTGACTTGAGGACACACTCTGGATTCAAACTCGAGTCACGTGTCTAAGCAGCGTGTCAGAGCACATGCAATAACACTGAATAAAACACAGCCAAGTTTAAGTGTAGTTACAGTATTTAAAGTTGGAATTCCTGCAATTTTCTGTAAGTGTAAAGTTATACTGTGGTTTAATAAGAGCATGATCAAGATTGATTTTAAATATCTTCTCTGTGTGTGTGTGTGTGTGTGTGTGTGTAGGTGTACATATTTGAGAATAATATTTACTATCAGTCGGACGTCAGGAGTAACTCGCTGCGATTGACCTCATCGGGGAAAGAGGGCGTCATCTATAATGGCATCGCTGATTGGCTCTATGAAGGTGAGGCTCAGTTATATCTCTGTTTATGAGAAGATTTAAGAAATATATGATGATGATGCATCTTTCCTCTCGTGAGACACAGTAAGTGTTGTCCAGTTTTCTCTTGTGTAAGCTGATTGTAAGTTAGCTCTCAGTTTCCCCAGATGAAGAAGAGGGCCGTATGGTGAAGCTCAGGTGTTTGTGTTTGACTCTAAGATCTCATACAGCACAAATAAAAAGTCCAGTTTACTATTCAGTGTTTTTGTAACTCTTGTTTTGTTGGAAACACGCATGCACAGAGGAGGTCCTTCACACGCATGTGGCGCACTGGTGGTCACCTGACGGCGAGCGATTGGCCTTTCTGGTCCTGAATGACAGTCTGGTGCCAAACATGGCGTTGCCCACTTTCACCGGCTCTACATACCCTAAAGGCAAACAGTACCCGTATCCGAAGGTAACATCCTCTTGCTCAGATGTACACTACATGGACAAAAGTGTTGGGACACACCTCCTAATTATCAAATTCAGCAGTTTCAATCAGATCCATTTGCCACAGGTGTTTAAAGTCTAGCACTAGCCATGCAGTCTGCATTTACAAATCTTTGTGGAAAAAATTGGTTGTTCTGAAGAGCTCAGTGAATTCAAGCGTGGTACTGTATGATGCACCCTATCACAGTACCAGTGTCAGTTCATGACATTTTATCCCTGACAGATATTCCACGCTCAACTATAAGTGGTATTATTGGAAAGTGGAAGCGTTTAGGAACTGCAGAAACCACGCAAAGTCACAGAGCATCTCATCAAATGCTGAGGCTCATGGTGCGTAAAAGTCGCCAGAGGTCTGCTGATTCGAAAGCTGAAGAGATCCAAACTACCACAGGCATTAATATCAACACAAAGACTGTGCAGCAGAGCTTCATGAATGGGTTTCAATGGCTGAGCAGATGCATGAAGCCTCACATCACTAGTGCAATGCCAAGTGTGGGATGGAGTGAATAAAGCACACAGATACTGGACTCTGGAGCAGTGGAAACCTGTTCTGCACAGTGACCAGTCACACAGTCTGACGGGCGAGTCTGGGTTTGGAGAACATTACCTGCCTGACTGCATTGTGCTGACTGTAACGTTTGCTGGAGGAGGGATGATGGTACAGGGCTGTTTCTCAAGGGTTGGGCTCCGCTCCTTACTCCCAGTGAAGGGAAATCTGAATGCTTCAGCATACCAAGACATTTTGGACAATGCTGTGCTTCCAGCTTTGTGGGTACAGTTTGAGGAAGGGCCTTTTTTATTCCAGCATGACTGTGACCCAGTGCACAAAGCAAGCTCCATAAAGATGTGGTTGGATGAGTTTGTTGTGGAAGAACACTGAGTTCTGAACTCAACCCCATCCAACACCTTTGAGTTGAACTGGAACAGAGATTGTGAGCCAGGCCTTCTCATCCAACACCAGTGCCTGACCTCACAAAAGCTCTACTGGATGAATGGGCAAAAGTTCCCACAGAAACACTTCACAATCTTGTGGAAAGTCTTCCCAGAAGAGTGGAAGTTGTTAGCTGTTAACGGAGATGAACTCCATATTAATGTCAATGTATTTAGAATGTCACGTCATTAATGTCCCTATTGGTTTAACGGTCACGCGTCCCAATACTTATGTCCATATGGTGTATCACGTGGTTAGGGGGGACAATTAAAGACACGAATGGCATTATTTTATGTAAAATGAGCATAAAGTATTAAAAGGGTGAAATAACAGGGAAATTCTGGGTTGCCTTACTAAAGCCTGCTTTTCACCCAGAGCAGTTTTTGCAGTGTTAACCCTGTATTTTGGTGCCAAATGTACATTGTGAAACAATTCAGTGTTATAACGTCAAGCCTCAGTGCTACAGACACCCAATCACATGCTTTACACAGTCACGGAAAAATTGTGTGGCATAAACAAGAGTTTCAATGCTTGAGGGGAAAAATGACAAATAGTGATGGGAAAAAATGTGAACTGAAGTGAGTAGACCATTTTATTCTTCTCTTTATAGTCTAAAAAATTCACTCAGGAAAAACTTTATAGTATTGTACAATATATAATATGAAGATGTGGGAAGCTAGAGTCGAATGCTGCGTTCGTCCAGTTACTGCGAATAAGAAGGAAGATACAGCGTGAAACATCAGTTTACGAAGACCACAATTAACTGTTAACCCAGGTACGAGCAACATTGAAATGTGAAACAAAATTCCATTTGGATTCCATTAAGCAGGGTGTAGAATGACCCAGAGTTAACTAGTTCAGGTGTGTCCATGTAGCATATTGACTGGAGCACAGCGACGCTCAGCGAGTCCACTGAGACTCATGCATGATGGGTTTGATACAGACACTTGCTTTGATTTCTTTTTGCTTAATTGAGTGGCATTCTGACATTTTGAAGTGTTACTCAATTGTTTAGAGACATTTTCGGATGTTGAAGGAAATGTCAGATTTTTTTGTCATCTGTTCTTGGTGCAAAGGTTAAATTATTTCCGTAGTTGTTTTTATAACTGCAAATGTTGACGCGTGTTGTGTTTGCAGGCTGGGCAGCCCAATCCCATGGTGAAACTGTTTGTGGTCAATCTGTACGGACCGACACACACACTTGAACTCACACCACCAGATGAGCTCAAGCTCAGGTATGGAGTTTGTGTGTTCGGATCTGCGCTGGAGACTCAGGCGATGCTCTGACGCTCTCTGTGTCTGTAGGGAGCACTATGTGGTGATGGTGAAGTGGATCAGTGCATACACACACACACACATACACACACACTCATACACACACACACACACACGCATACACACACTCACACACGCAACTTACACACACACACACTCATACACACACACACACAGCTGTGCGCTTCCTGAGGAAGATGATGATAATGTGCTTTATAGATGAATTTGTGTCTGTCATTGTGGTGGTGATGATGATGGTGATGATGGTGTTGTTTCTTTACAGAGGCATGAGGAAACATCAGAAGTTTGGCTCTCCAGACAGGTGAATCTCCACTAGATGTTTGCATCATGATCTTCTGTCACTTGAGTTTAATCTGGTGTCCCTTGGCTGCTTCTGCAGAATCAGGAGCCGTTCTTCTCTCGAGACGGCAGCCGTTTCTTCCTGACGGTGCCGGTGAAGCAGGGAGGACGAGGAGACTTCCAGCACGTGGCCATGTTCACCTCTCAGGTACAGACACAGCAGCACCGAGCGGCGTCTGGGTCTGTGTATGTGATCTGTAGCGTGTTTGTGTTTCTGCAGGTGCGTGCGGATCAGAACGAGCTGCGGCACCTTACATCAGGGAACTGGGAGGTGACGCAGATTCTGGCTTACGATGAGAACAGCCAGAGCATGTGAGTAAAGCATCCAGTACTTCACATGAAAACCAGGCTTCTCTACAGCCAACACGCATTTCCATCAAATAATGCAAACGTGATCTAACTATTGCCCTGTCCAAATACCCACACTTGTGCTCTTGGCCACTTGAGAGAGCGTGCACAAGACTGTCCCAGGTCTTAGAAACGCTAAAGCGCAGTGCCCTCAATGCACACTAAACCTACACTATCTCCAATACTGCTCCGGAGCGCTATCCCAGGCTTAGTGTATCCCATCATGCATCACGATCTGGAAATAAATCGTGAGACTTTTTGCCAAGATCTCGCGAGAGGTCACGGAAATCTTTCATATGTAAGTTAAAATATTAATGTAATAATTAGATATTACATATTAGGGCTGCACGATAAATCGAAATGAAATCGAAATTGCAATTAGACAGAAGCTGTGATTGTCATGTGATTGAAGCATGGTTCTGTGATAAGCAGTAAATCTCCATCTGAAGGTCAGAGAAACTCCAAATACACCCCGCAGAAGAAACCCAGGCAATCCCTACAGCGCTAGCTGAATAAACAGAAGATTGAACTGCTTTCATTGATTCAACGTGACTAATAAACACAGGACTACGACAATATATGGTTTATCTGAGTTCGTCTTATTATAATTTTCATTATAATAAAGAATATCTATAATGCAATGCTAATCGACATAGCCTTTATCACTGCTTAGAATACTATGAAATATGTTGCATGCCTTATTCTGTGTAAGAAGACATCATCTCACAGAAGGATTTATTTCAAAAACTCGCCTGATGTTACAAAGTGAGTTTGGAGTTAAAATATGTTATTAAATGTGGTATTTTCACGTGCTTTCAGATGGAGCAGCATTTACTACACAGAGCCGTAGTTCACTGAGAAGCTACGCAAACAGCTGTTATTATAATAATTTGATTTTATAATCATACGATTATATTGTCTGCTATTTTTTTTGTGTAGCTTGTCAGAGAACTACGGCTCTGTGTAGTAAATGCTGCTCCATCTGAAAGCAGGTGATGGAGATTTACTACTGATCACAGAACCGGCTTTACTGACAAGATGCGCATGACAATTGCATTCGATTAATCATGCAGCCCTATTACATATAATTTGGTTGAAAAACAAAGTGTTGCACGTTTTATTGGTGCAAAGATGGAGTAGTGGTGATATTTATTTTGTACAACATTTGCAACTGATTTTTATCCCTTAATTAGAAGCACCGCAAATTAAATTGTGTCATGTTATAGGCACTACTGAACAGACATTTAGAAGTTGATTTTAAAATGCAAAGTATTTAAAATAAAAATAAAGCTATGTAAACGCTTGCATTTTTACAACACTATAAGTGTGTCCCATCAGGTAATGAAAAGTTCGACACACACTTGAGCTCTTGGGCCAAATACAGGAAATACATCATATGAGTAGTCAAGTGCTCAAGTGTGTGTATTTGGATGAAGGGTAAGTTACACGTGATCACAGTGTTTTGAAGGCACTGTAAATGTCTGTCTGTTCTAATGCAGATATTTCCTGAGCACCGAAGGCTCCTCGAGCCGCCGGCAGCTCTTCAGGTGAGATTCACGTGTGTTCCTGTCCGTTCCTCAGAGTTAAACCTCAGATTCATGAAATACTTGTCCTGATTTAATGAACGTGGGTCGTGTTTACAGTTTTTCTCGATTGCTAACACACAATTCATGAAACAATTCACCATTTTCTCACAACTATAAACACAATCTCAAAACTACACACAAACTTGTGCAAACCTCAAACTTCCAGGTCAATCAAAAATAGTTTAGTCAAAAACATGTTCTCTTTTGTCAGACTCAAACTTTGGCCTCAGATGACACACAAACCTGACAAATACACAGACTACTTTCCTGTATAGAGAACCAAATTCTCACTAGCTTAAACCAATTTGTCGAATAAAGCACTCTTTCTGCTAAA